CGTAAACTTTTCGAAACTACTTATGAAGTTATTTAATTTTGCACTATAAGAGCCATTACTAGGATTTGCTATTTCTTTGTTAAGTACCGAGATTTAAATAATCACGTAGACCAATTAATTGACTAATTGATACCGTAATCACTGTCGTGAAAACAAAATAATGTCGATATACACGTAACAATTCAATACAAGTAACAGGACTTTGAATTAGCTGAGCTTTTTAAAAACATCAACTTTTAGACTACCCTCTACACTCTTTATGTGTTTCGTTTTATTATTAGAATGCCCCTAATACTTCTAATATTTTTATTTTAATGCAGAAATTATCTAAAAATCTACTTCAAAACAAATTTCAAGTCTATATTTTCAAGTGAAAACTGATATAACGACTGCTGAAAACCAGGCTGACCAATGCAATTTTATAATAGATAGTATTTATTCATTTTTAGGATCAAATCTAAGTTTTACAACTATGGCTGCTGATGCAAGAACTTATTCAATATGTTTGGGAGTAACTTGTATGTTTGCTTCGATTTTGTCGGCGTACGCACTTCTTGTGGAACTTTCGGCTGAACTTCATCCTGATCAACCAGCCATGTGCGATATTGGTGAACATATGAGTTGCAGTAGAGTATTGACATCCAGGTAAAATTATATTTATGTAATAGTGAATTAGTGCTCAAATATTATCTTTTCGTTTTCGTTTCTCAGTTGTCAGTAGATATTAGCTATCGATTCTTAACATTTTTCTTAATTGCTTTATGTTTATGTATCATACGATCAAAATAACTACAATCAATTAAAAACTTTTAAAAATGATATGTAAAAACACCGTTAAAAGTGGATAAGAGAGACAACAAAGATGGAAAAGTTAGACGACATATATTTTTTTCCTTCAATTGTCTTCCATCATATTTAATTTATATATGAACTCTCAAGTCAAGAAAGTTTTTAAAGATTGATAGATTAATGGGCCCACTCTGCTGCACAACACTATGGCAAGACTATGTTATAAAGAACTTGCCATACTAAATTTTGACAAAAGCCATGTGGTTGCTGTGCAGTCAGGCGTTCTTTCAGGTTGTCAGATACAAAACCTAACCTAGAAACCGCACAAATGTCAAAAAACGATCTTAGATAACAGGGTCTTTCTGACACAGCTTTATAACATACGAGCGACGTTGCAGTTTATGTGTAAAACGCCTGAATGCACAGCAAATACATGACATTTTGACAGTATTCAGTATGAGTCAGTAGCATAATGCATGGAAGTTGGAGCGAAACATGGCCTTGCCATAACATTGGTCTGTTGTGTGGCAGAATCGGCCCATAAAATTCAATTAATCGATTACAATGTAATAGTTACTTACATTGTAGTGTTGTGTAAGGCTAAACCAGATAAGTAAAAAATGCTGTACAAAAATTTTAAATTGGAGAGATTATACGGCTCATATATTGATATCGATAAATCGAACGATATCCAGTATTTGGATAGTTTTCTATTTGAAAACGAACATTTGGGTTTATTAAAATAGTTCTACTTCTCGACCTGGAAAACAATTTTTAAAAGTGTAAATTCAGAATATCGAGTTTTAGTATATCGAAAAGCTATATGTAATTCAGAAAAAGTATATTAAAGATAAAAGAGATCCTGTTAAAAGATATAAGAGATTTTTTTAATATCTAGACCTATTCTATATGGAACATCAGCAAATTTTTGGTAGTATGTACTTAAAATGTCTAAATCGAATGCCAATTCAATAATTGAACGTTTGGGTAATAAAAACAAAAGAATTTTAATCACAAAAATGTGCTACACGATCATGAAACTGACAAATCTGTATCAGATCTGCAAATATATTCAAAATATATTTTAAATTGATGACAAATATAAAAAATCCGTCTAATGAAAAATGTATATGATTCATTGCCTGGATGCCAAAAAAATTTAGGTTATTTACATGAGGGAAAGTAAAATGTTATTAAATTAGCAAACATAAAGAAACAAATAAAAACATTATGAAAACTATTCGTGCATCTAGATTAATAATTTTAAAAAATCAACAACTCTAATGCAACTCTCAATGAACATATTTTGATCTAACAAATAGTATATCAAACATTAGGATATTCGTTTACTAATTTACATTATGTACAATGTTATTTTCTACTAATTTTCGAATATTTTTGTAGCTTATCAACACGGTTATACATCTGTTAAATTACTGAGTATATTTTGATTTAAACAAACAAAACTATGTAGAATAAGAAACTAGATATTAATTATATCAGATAACTAATTTCATATAAATGTATATATGAGCCGCTCAGTGCACACATCGACTAACTCCACTTTTTGAAAAAACTGAGATATTAGTGGGAAAGAACTTGATATAATCATTTAATATCAATAATATAATATATATTAATACTATAGATTTTTTCATGATATCTATAATTACTTCTTTACGATGAATTGCTTAAATGCCATATATTTCGTAATTAAAGATAATTACAATGTAGTTGTTCAATAGATAATTTTAAACATCATTAAAATGCAATAAATTACTTTCGTAATAACAATCTCTATTATTTACAGGTATGGCAAAGGCTTCGGAATTGTTGGTCTAATATTAGGAGAAAATTCAAAATTTAATCAACCCAACGGATTTACTGGCATTATCTTCTACTCTTTCATTTCTACTTTAGGTTGGTATATTATAATTGAAAATTTATTACCAGAATATGCATATGTTAATTATTACTAATGAAATTAATTTGTTTCAGCTCTCACAGAGAAACGTTGGACTGCAAAAATTCAATTAGCTTTAAGTTTCATATCGATTCTTCTCTCAATTTATTTGGCCTGTATTCTGTATTTTGTTCTGCACGATTTGTGTGTAGTTTGCGTTACCATTTACTTTTTAAATTTAATTAATTTCATACTTTCCTATAAAAGACACAGTTTGTTAGCTCCTGCTACTCACGAAATCAAGAAGAAACGAAAGTAGATATACATAATTATTTATTTTATGCAGATTTTGTAAAAATATAACAAAAATTTAATTTTATAATTCAAATGACTGACAACAAATATTCTATTAAGAACATATTTTTGTTGTTTATAACAAACAAATTTGCTTTTAATTAATATATATGTATATATATGAAAATAAAATATATTGATTATATATGAATTGTACTATTTTAAATTGTGGTTTTGAATCTGTGGGGCTGTTTGAAGAGGGCCATACAGCAGTTTCCAAAAAAACTATTTTTCAAAATAAACCAATAATGTGGAAATGATATAAAAAATGAATGAATAAATAATTTTTTATGTATATTTTTACATAATTTGTTTCCTAATAAATTTAGAATAAAAAGTTGAGAATAAAAAATGAATAAATAAATAATTTTTTATGGATATTTTTACATAATTTGTCGCCTAATAAATTATAATATCAGTTGAATATATATTTTATTAAGTAACAAAATTAAGCAAAAGCTTAACATTTTTTTTAATAAAAATTAGAGTGAGTGCGCGGTACGAAAAGTTTGAAAACCACTGGTATAAACTTTTATTTAATTTAAATTAAGTATTATTTTTATCAACTTCTCGAAGGAAGAATTTATATAGAAACGAGTAGTTATTCGGTTATAGGTTTTTGCCAGAAAATCCGATTAACAAATTCCACAAATCATTCTGAATCTTTAATAAATAAAAACTTTAATAAATGAATTGGATTAGCAACATGCATGAGTGTAATAATAGATTTATAAAATAGACTTCTTAATTATTGGATTAACTTCCCGTACGATAACTTATAGTAATGGGCCAAAAATCGAAAATAAACTTTTTTGCATTTCTTCACGTTTTGAAAGTTTCTGAACATTTTGGCATACCTCAGAAAAAATGGATGTGTGTGTGTGTGTTTTGTATGTGCGCATTTTTCTTCCACGTTTTCGGGCGCACGGATCAACCGACTTGAATGGTTAAAAAAACATTCCATTTCTATTGTTAGGGGCGAGATGTGCTTATCAGGTTTTGGCAAAGGCAAGTCCAGTCGTTACGGAGATACGAAGCAAAGAGTGCAGAAAATAGAAATCGAGTTTTAGACGGAACATCCGATTTGTATGATCGAAAAAACATTCAGGTTGTAATGATGATGAGAAGTGGTGGTTAGATTTTGGCAAAGGCAGGTCCAGTCGTTTCGGAGATATCGAGCAAAATGTGCAAAAAATGGCAGTTTTTGAGAGAACTAACCATCCCATTTGAATAATTCAGAATTTTTTCTGGTTGTGTTGACTTTTGATGTGAAATTTTTTTTCAACTTTTTTAATATACAAAAAATATTTTGTTTAATAAATAAGATATTATGTTTCTTAATATAAATAATGGAAGTTACAGTATTTATAATAATTTATATGATTTACATTTAATATTTCTCGAATACTTCGTTACGGTACGGGAAGTTCCAGCAATTTGCCTTAAAGCACGATGCGATACACCACTTGCATTTTAAATTTAATATTTGTATTTAAGAATTTCAAATGTTAAACTTCCCGCGTTTTTATTGTAGAATTTTCTCAATAGATGGTACCACCAAAAAAACTTAAAAGTATCTAAGCAAATGTCAAATAAACATAACCTAAAATTTTATATATAACTTACTTTAAATAAAAATAATTATAAATAAATATTATTTATAATTATGAATTCAAATGATATATACCAATTTGTACAGAAATCAATACCTGTATTACAGGATCAGACGATTCTCGAAGAATTAGCAGAAAATTCAAAATGCGCAATGTTCTTATTAGTTAAGTGCACAACAGACTTGTCAGAGTATAAAACATTAACTGAAATTGAAATTGAAAATAATTTGACTTTAATTGATTCGGTTATCGATAAGACACATGAATACTTACACACTGGCCATTGGAGCGAAATTCGAATTCATTTACGAAAACTGTATTTCTATAGCTGTTTTATCAAAATGCAGTATATGTTGCTGCTTACTGTAAAATTAGATAAAAAATCTGATGATTTGTCCACTAGTTTGCAAGACAAAATTAGATTAGGAGATATGGCTATAATGTTAGGAGTTCCTTTGGATAATTACCCAAACATCATGAATGAAGCAATCACTTTTGTTGTAAATATATATAATAAATGTTTTCCATCAACAAATAAGTCATTTGTAATCAGCAGAGAAGATGAAAATAGTATACCGGATACCACTAAGAAAATAAAAATACTATCTTGCCCAAGCATAGAATTATTTAAGAATTCATTCTTTGATAAAGGTGTACCGTTACTTCTTAAAGGCTGCATAAATCACTGGCCAGCGCTTGAGAAATGGCGAGATTTGAACTATATACAACAAATTGCAAATAACAGAACAGTGCCAATAGAATTAGGATCAAAATACACAGATGAATCGTGGAGTCAACAATTAATGACCTTACGTGAATTTATCACTGAACATATATTCAAAGATGCCCCAAACACAACCAAAGGATATCTAGCTCAGTATAGACTGTTTGACCAAATTCCAGAACTTCTTAACGATATACATGTACCGGATTATTGTTGTGTTTCTGATATAGACTCACCACCTGAAATTAATGCCTGGTTTGGCCCTCAAGGCACTATATCACCTTTACACACTGACCCAAAGCATAACTTTTTGGCACAAGTAGTTGGCGTTAAACAAGTTGTATTATTTTCACCTGACGATAATGAATATCTGTACCCACATGAAGCTAAAATGCTAAATAATACATCACAAATTGATCTTGATAATTTAGATCTAAACAGATTTCCATTATTTATGAAAGCTAAACGAATGACATGCACATTGCGCTCTGGTGATATGTTATATATTCCGCCTAAATGGTGGCACCATGTTACTTCAAGAACAATTAGTTTTTCAGTATCATTTTGGTTTGAATGAAATATTTAATTGTTATTAATATAAAATTTTTGTAACAACACATTTATAAAGACATCATTATACAAGCCAATATGCTGTTATTATGTTACGATATTTAAAATATATATTAATAAATATATTTATTTTAATAGAATCGTTTTTTTCTCAAAACATATAATTAAAATATTATCAGTCTTATTATACTCAATTATAATAAGCTTAATTTTTGTATATCCATTAGCACAATCAATTTAGCTGATTAACGTTTTGTAAAAAAAGGTTTTAAGAAATTTTAGAATAGTATTTAGATTTTGAAAGACTGAAGTCTGTGAAAGCAAACACGTTACTGCGTTACTCAATATAAACTAAATAATTTAATCTTGATTTTCCGAATTCAAAATTGATTATTTGCTAGAATGGAATTAGGTTTTGCTTGAAAAAAATTTGCAAATTTAAAAACTGATGACACAAACACTACATAATAAAATGCATATTACATTTTCCAATAGGTGGTTTATTTTAATATTTTTTATTTTTTATATTATAGTAGTTATCGTAACAAGAATTGATTTATCTGAAATGATTTTAGCAATTCACGATAGTAGTTAGACTCGATCGTCATGATTTTGTCATCGATCTCGAACACTGTGAAATTATAGTGTTATCAATATATTCCGTTGGCGGAACCGCCGCTAATCGCCACTGTTCCGTTAATTTTTCATTTTGTGATAAAACTCGCAACAAATTACCTCCGGCTATCAAAGCAACATCTTCCTCCGTCCAGGTAGGATCCTCTAGCAACTCAGCAAGCAGATGTGGGTATCGAGAAACGTCTTCAAGACCTCTTGGGGTCACATCAATGCCATCATATCCTGCACCTAAACCAATATGATTTATTCCTGCTATTTTTCGTATATGCTTTATATGTTCTACAACATCAGCGATGCTTGCTGTACGACCGCAAGCAATGTGAAAAGAATAAAAGCTAATCATTACCAATCCTCCATTATCTTTAAGTAAAGTCAAAATATCATCAGGAACATTACGTGTTGCATTACACAAAGCTTTGGCAGAAGAATGTGAGAAAATTACTGGAGCCCTGGTTACATTTAATACATCTCTAACTGTAGTCAACGAGGCGTGGGATAAATCTACCATAATTCCTAGACGATTCATTTCGCGTATCACTTCTCTGCCAAAATCACTTAGGCCTCTTTCCGAATCTTCTGCACCAGCCCAGCTGGTGTCACAAGAATGGGTTACTGTCAAATATCGTGCTCCCAGCATATGCAAGGCTCTTAGAACCGAGAGAGATCCGTCGATAGCATGTCCACCTTCCACTCCTATTAACGAAGCTATTTTACCGGCTTTGTAAGCTTCCAAAATGCCTTTGGTTGAGGTGACTAGTGACAAGTGCCTCGGATGCAGCTCAGATAGTCTGAAAAATAGTATAGTAAAATTATAAAGAGTGTTAAAAAATAATATTAACAAATTAACCAGTAGTGCATGGCATCGTGCATTGAGGCAAATTTCTGGATCATCCTCTATCGAGAACTATTTTTTAAAAAAAAAACTTTGGAAAATTTTTAAAATTTTCGAAAAAACTTGATTTTTTTATATGTTGAACTTTTTTTCAAAGCAATCGCGCTGGGTAGTTATTTTAGAGACGAAATATCGATGCGCGTAAGCGCTGCCTCGCTGTCCAACGGTTAAACATTGGTGCGGAACTCGTAGAAATATAAATAAAAATTGTTCTTATTATTAAAATCTATATGTGCATATGTCCATATCTTTGTTGATCGCCAAATGGCATATTTTTTACTTTTTTAAATGGATCTCCAAAACCGCTGGACCTGCTTTCCCAACAAATTAATCAGTTTTTCGTTTCGTCAATACAAATAAAATGTTTTTCAACTTCCCGTAATCTATTTTATATAAAAATCTATTTTTTTTTCAAAGTTTTTTAAAAAAAAATTAAAGCTTTTTAAAAATTTAATTTTTGATACGGGAAGCAATTTGCCTCTGAACACACACACATACATTCATCGATCGTATGCCAAAATGTTTACAGACCATTAAAACGTAAAGAAATATAAAAATTTTCATTTTCGATTTTTTTGCGATTACTATAACTTACCCTACGGAAAGTTAATAAATTTATATGTTGTGACAAATCCAGTGCAGATTTTGCAAAAAATATTTATTCAATAACTTATGAATATATATATTTATTAAAAACACTTTTTCAAATGTGGAAAAGATAAATGTAAACTACTTATTTGTGCTTTTTTACTAATAGCTAGTCAGCTTACGAGATGGAAAAAATATGTAGTGTAGCATAAAATTCATTAATTAGTTGAATATTATATTAAAACGATAAATCATCATATGTTTAATGCATAAATAGTTGGTGATATCTCATAATAAGCAGGAAAATGTTTTCTTGTACATTTATACACTATGCATATTTTGAAAAATATAATATTTGTACAATAATGTTAACATTATTATATATTACAATTGTAATATATAATTACCGATTCGCGAAATAATATACTCATAGAATAGAAGGACATTATTTTAAATAAAACAAAATTAATGGAACTAAACTTGATCCATATATTTGTTTATAATGATATATATTGAAGAAAAGGAGTATTTTCTGACAAATGGCCAGTAAAACAATGTTATCAAGTCAAGGTAAAAAGCCCAACGAAATTTTATATGAAGATGTAAGAGAATTTTTTTCTCTTTGTCTAATGGTTTCGTGCAAACGTTTATTTATTTAACATACAAAATATTGTTTTATTTATATTTGATTTTTTGAAATTACATCTCAACGAAAGATATATAGCTACTTCTATTGAATATATATTTACTTTATTATTAATTTTATCATAAGTATTATGAAAACAATTTTTTGAATTATGGCTGCGCATGTTTCAGTATGAAAAATATTGGTATGTTTACTTATTTGTGGTAATATTTAAGAAATGGCATATAAACTTGAAATTACTAGCTTACTTATGTGATTAGAATCTATTAGTAAATAAAGGTAAATTAGCAAGTTAAAAAATGTTTTTAGGAAATTTTCTAAAATTATGATAGGTTCGTTATAATATATAATCAAATTTTCCATAAACAGTTATTCAGAATCAGCAATAAAGGCTACATGTGGAATTAATGTTCTGATAAATTTTATATCGATCATATAAGAAATTCAAGTTAGAAATCGATCATTTTATGAAATAATTTTGGTAAAAATTATTAAACGTTTTATAACGCTGATTATCATTTAAATTCATAAATATATTTTAGCTGATAATTTCTAAATTTTAGCAAAGTATAAGTTTGAAAAACATTAATGAATACATTCAAGTTTTTTTTTCTTTGAATATTTTTAATTTGAAATGTTTATTAATATTGTAATAAAAAATAATAATTTAATTTACATTAGAGGTACTCAAAAAATTGCAGAAACCTGAAAGTTAATAATTAAAAAATAGAATTGCAGTGTCGCTGCATTATCAAATCTTAATAAATTAAAAATGTTTAGAAATGATTTTCATGTTAAAAAAATACAACTATTTAAGTATTCTTCAAGTAAAAATCTAATAAAATAACTATATACAACCTTGTTTGTGAAAATTTGAAATATGTAATAATGATTCAAAAGCTTGTCGAATACTCATTTTTTTCCTATGCAATTCCATTAACTAATATGCATAAACAAATTTTGTGGGTTTGATATATTTTTGTTTTTTCAGATTTATGAATTATTTTATAGAATATTTTGTTAAAACTGCTGAATTTTATGCAATCTTAGTGTAAGTCACGCGCTCATCTCATATAAAAATTTAGCTAATATCTCCCCCATAATTCAAATTGATTATTATAATTTATTTTATGAAATATAAATTTATATAGTTTCTATTCAATTGAATTGTTTTTTGTTATATATACAAATTAGTTTTATCCGTTTTTGGTACACAAAAACATAAATTCCCACATAAAAAAACTAAATTTTAAACATCAAAAATCAGTTCAATTTTTTTGCGAAAATCATGACGAATATTATCTTTATTGTTAATCACAAAAATAATTTTGAAATTGCTTGATGCTGAGAAATTGTTAGTTATAAATTAGATGTTTAATCACTAACCATCTTGTTAGGTTATTAATTAAAAAAAGCATGGAAATGAAAAACTACATTTTATGAAAAATCTTCAATTCGCGATTCGTATTTTATGTTCTAATAGTGAAATTAAATTTTATCGTATGATATTACCTGCGAATCAAATCTATTTGTTCTAGAACAATCTGCACTGCATCCAGACCTTGCGCCCCACAAGGAACATACGCTGACCAAAACTGGGCACCCAGCTGCCCCTTCCTCAGTCGCGGGATATCGGTCTGGGACCAGGGTGACGTGGCCCAAGGGTCAATTGTAGCTACCGATGAGCTTAAATTGACCCCTGCAATACTACCGTGTCCGAATCGACGTAGATTCCAGGGAAGATCGTTGTGACCATCTGTTAAAAGAAATTTTATTTGCACTTTTTCATAAACAAAGATATTTTATGAAAAAAATACTTGGAAAAGTGATATCATATACAGTATGCTCATTCAAATAGAGTTGAGATTAGGCATAAATATTTGCCTAATTTTATGGTTTTAGATTTATTTATTTATTTCAACACATTATAGTATAAACGTAAGATACAAATATAAATACAAATATAGAAAATATGCAATACAAGTGTAAGAGAATGCAAAAATACATATACAAATCAGGTATATAAGTGACTTAAATACTACTAATATAGGTTCTACAAATTAATCTATGAAATATAGTACAAAATTAATCCTAGTACTAATTCTAACAACAACTATTAAGTATAAAAAGGAGATAAAAACATAACATCATAGACATATACTAGACTAAAGATGCAGGATGTCAGCTTTCAGCGTTGTCAGCGCTAACAGCTATCAGAGCTTACAGTGTTAAAAGGCTTCCGACTGGCTTT